CTCCCTGGCGACGATGCCAGGTCTGAACAGACGCCCCGCTTTCTCTGCGATTGGCCTCGTCGGCTCCCGGGTGGCAGCCCGGCCTCCTCTACCAGAAAACTGGCCGGCGTCAAGGCCACCCTAGAAGCAAAGGCCTGAGGCTGGCCCAGAGCTTGGGCAGGTCCCCCGCCTCTTGGGTTTTCCGAGACTCGGGAAGTGGGCACGTTAAATGGGCACAATCGCGACCCTTATGGGAGTGGCCGGGAGAGGCTTCTCCCCGGCGGTTTCTTCACCTGCGTCCCCAGCCTGCGGTGAGGTGGTCGCGTCCCTGTTGGGGCGACGGCAGCTGACGCGCATGGAACACTTGCACGCAGCTCAGAACCCTCAGGGTCTGAGTTTTCCACGCAGGCGACGCCAAGGAATTCACACTGTCAGGTGGGCACGCAGGATGAAGAGGAAACCAAGGCATGAGGGAGATTTGACCGACCAGGCACGGTCACACAGCGAGGGCCAAGGCGGAGCTTCCAGCCCAGGCGGCCTCTGCGGGGGGCTGCTACCCCTGGCCTCTCTCGCCCCTTTCCTGGTCCCCGGAATGGGATCACGTCCAGGTTGGCGCGGGGGAAGCTGGGAGTGGCTGGAAGCAGAGTGTGGCCTGGGAACTCAGGGGGAGCATCGTGGGGGCTGTGTGTGCGTGGGGGAGGGGCGAGGCCCGAGGGCCGAGTGGGGTGGAAGCAGGATGTGCTTGTCCTCGGACGGCCTGAGGAAGGGCGGAAGACCGTTTTCCGGCCCGCTGCGGACCCAGAGTGGACAGCTCTTTTCATCTCCTGGCTGTGTCGCTGGCACTCTTCTCACTGGTTGCAGGCCAGGAATGAGGCCCAGAGAGGGTGTGGGACTCGACCGCGGTGTCTGCGCCGATCAGCTTTCCCCACTTGCCTCTGCTGCTGCCTTGGGGCGGAAGCCGACCAGGGAAGCACGAGCGCCCAGGCCAGAGCTGTTCTTGCCGGTGGCAGATTCCCTCTCGGGCCGGGCCGTGGTCGAGGTCGACTAGGTTTGTCTCACCCTAGGTGCCGGGTGCATGCCTAAACCCACGCTGGGCCTGGAGAAATGGTTCTGGCGCTGCTGAGGGAGGCCATGGTCGCCCGTGGGCCAACGCCGTCCTTGACAGACGAGGCTCCGAGGGTTGTGCGAAGTGGCCAAGGCCATGGCAGACGTCTCGGCAGAGTCGAGTCCCTGATGTGAGTCCAGGGTTCCTTCGTTGGTTGGTTCTGTGGCGTAAGGAGACCGACAGGTGTGACTTTCGGGTAGCGGCGAGCGCTCTGACAGGGAGAGTGGCGGAGTGAGAAAGGGAAGCTTATTTTAGGCAGAGCCCCGGGCAGGGCCCCTCTGCAGAGGCGGCCTGGGAGCCGAGACCTCTGGGTGAGGAGGGGCTGGGAGCCTGAAGAAGAAATCTCCCACAGAGAGAAGCCATGAGTGCCGAGGCCACTGTACAGGCCGGCGTGGCTGGGGGTCTCTCGTGAGTTTGGAGCTGGTGGCCTGCGGGGCTCATTTAGCATTTCGTGGAGAGAGGAGAAAGGTGGGTGTGGTAGGAGGGGCCGTGGGTCCCAGTGACAGGGACGTGATGATGGCCTGGACCAGGGGTGGTAGCCGGAGAAGAGCCTTATCCCTGGCGATCCCTCTTTTCCTGCCTGCCCAGCATCCCCCAAGTCCGAGGGATCCTGGAGAAACTCCGCAGCCTTTGAGAGAGACGCCGGGCCAAATGCACAGATGTTTCTCCCTCCGGAGTTCACTGGATTCGAGACCCAGCGCCCAGGCCCCCAGCTCCAGCCCTGGCATCCCGACCTCAGCTGCACCAGCCCGGCCAGCTGGGCCTCAGCTGTGGGGCAGAGTCCGCCCTGACACCCCCAAGGCCACCGCAGCTCCCAAGTCCGCTGCGTCCTGTTCCTCTGACACCCTGCCCGGCTCCTGCAGCCCAGCTGCGGGCCAGCTGTGTGACCAGCCTGGCTGTCATCAGGAACCCACTCGTCTTCCTGGGAAACTGAGGCCTTCAGGCCGGTGAAGGAAGAGGCTTGATTGATCCTGTGCCAGTGACTCACCACGCAGTGCCATTTAACCTTTGCAAGGGCGGGTGGCATCGGGGGAGTGGTCCTGCCGTTCCCAGGGTCTCAGCTGGACCAGATGCCAACCTCAGAAGGCAAGCGGGTGGCCCAGGGAGCACAATTTGAGAAGGCACTCACCCTCAGGGGTGTGCACGTGCAGGGTGGCACTGAAGAGAAGGGATGGACCATCCGGGGAGGAAGGCACTCCCCCTCCCCAGGGATCTGGATACTTGTCTCAAGGAGGCTTCCTTGGTGTCATTACCCTGCCCACTTAACAGAGGAGGAGCCTGAGTCTCAGATCCTGGCCCCCAGCACCCGGGATTGTCTTCCTGCCCAGCACTGTCAATCCCCTCTCTGTGAACCGCTGGTTTCAGGCTGCAGCCAGGACAGCTAGCATGGGGGCTGAGGGTGCCCCACCCCTACGGCGAGCACTTACTCTGAGCCAGAGTCTGGGCCAGGCTCCTTAAAGGCGTTAGCGATCTCCTTCCATCCTCAGCCTCTACAGGAAATCATGGCCTTGATCCTTTTCTTAAAAGTAGATGGGTCACCTGCGGACCAGAGATGTCAAGCGACATGCCAAGGTCACTGGGCAAGCCCTCAGAGAACCTGGACTTCCCACCCACACCCTAGCTCTCCCTGTGCCCTCGGGGGCCTCCAATGGGGTCAGAGAGGTGGGGCCTAAGCTGGAAACATCTGACGCAGGGGCTCGCACGGGGACCCGAAGAGGCGACACGGCCGGCCTCCCCAGCGGCCCTCCTATGCGCTTCTGCTCCCTGTGATGCGCCAGTTGGGGAGGCAGGGCCTCCCGGGAGGACGAACCGGCTCTTCCCGCAGCAAACCCAGCTGCTCAGGGCTAGGAGCGGGGCAGCCCCTCTGCGCAGCTGGCACGCGGACCCCCTGGCCCAGCAAACTCCCAGGCTTCATGGTGGGGCGTTGGGGCAGGTGCGCCCCAGGAGCCAGGAAGACGGAGCTGTGCCTGTGTGTGACCTTGACTTAATTTCCGGAAGGCAGGCCCTGGATCCCGTGGTCAAGGGCTGGGAGGCCGGGAAGCAGCCAGACCCCCTGAGGACTCTTCTTGCTCTGATCTTACCTCTCCCCACCTTTCTTTTTCCCTTCCTGCCTCTTTTTCCTCTATTTTGATGTGATTGCTGTACTTTCTTGCTCAAAGGTGCGAGGCGGCCAGTGGCTCCTGGGACGCCGGACCACTGAGCTAGCATTCCTTGCCCAGGTGCCTGGGAGAGGTGGCTGAGGACGGGGCTCTGTTGGTCTGGGACCGAGTGCCTGTCCCCAGCAGCTCAAGGTCAGAGTGGAAGCTGCAGACACCAACAGTGAATGGAAAAATAACGCGATGGCACAGGGCTGGGATGGCGGTGCAGGGATGGGGTTCCCTGAGACGGGGAGGTTGGGAACGTTTGAACAGACTATAGGAAGTCCAGGCCAAGAAAGCAGCCCAGGCCAAGTCTCCCCCCCCCCGATCAACGAGTCGGTCAAATGGTGAGGTGGCGACCATGCCTCCGCCTCCAGAAGGCCCTGGCAGCCTGTGTCTTGCTGAGAGCATCTCTGCTTTTGAATGGAATCCACAGACCTCGTCTCCTCTGCCCTCCGACTGGCAAGCAGCAGAGCTGGTTCCTCACGGTGGTGCCCATTTTGCAGGTGAGAGAACAGAGCTCTGGACCCTGCCCATGCGGGGGATGCAGGCCCTGGTCACTCCAGACAAACTGGTTTCGGGAGCGTGCAGACCGATGCCGGCCTCCCACCAGCACATTCGCTTGAGGAGGGCCAGGGCCAGGGGGAACGTTTTGGATGGGCCACGGGGAACGTTTCGGAACACGAAGCGCCTCAAGACCCGGCCCGTCTTGCTGAGAGAGAGGACCGCAGAGAGGCTCAGGAAGTGCTGGTTGGCTACTCCTTGGTCTTGGGGGAGGGGGGCTTATTTTCCCAGCAGAATCTGCCCCTCCTGAGTGGGGTCCGAGACATGCTTGGCCACGTGGGACCAGCACGCCCTGGGCCAGGCTCACTGGGGGAGGGGGGATTCTGAGCTATTTTTCCTGAATGACCCCTGCCCCCTGCCCCTGCCTGGTGAGCTGAGGACCCACTCTTATTTCATTCTTGACATCAGGCTGGCTGCCTGACCGTTGCACAGGGACCCGCCCTCCAAAGAGCCCCATGCTTGGGGTTTTTTTCTTTTTGAGTCGGAGTCTCACTCTGTCACCCAGACTAGAGTGCAGCAGCCGCTCCCGGCCACCGCAGCCTTGACCTGCCGGGCTCCGGCGATCCTTCCGCCTCAGCCTTCCAAGTAGCTGGAACTACAGGTGTGCGCTACCATGCCAGGCTAATTTTTTGGTTTATTATAGAGATGAGGTCTCACCAAGTTGCCCAGGTGGGTCTCGAACCCACAGGCTCAGGCAAGCCATTCACCTCAGCCTCCCAAGGTGTGGGATTACAGGCTGAGCCACCGAGCCCGGCTATGCTTGGGGTTTAATGCTGCAGTCGCCATCTCAAAGTTCTTGGTGATTTTATCATTGGATTCGTGTGTTGTGACTTCTGGTGGGACAATGGAGCATATCCCGGGACTTGGACCTGCCTCTAGTACCTCCCTGGGCTGCCTACGCCCTGCTCCCTGGCAAGCCAGGCCCTGCCCAGCATCCCTCCCCCGTCCTCACCTAGTGACTGCTGTCGCCTTCTCCCTGGCAGGGGCCTGCCCACAAGCCTGGGGAGAGTCAGGGCTGGACATCCATACCCCATGGCATCGGCAGGTGAGGTATGGTGGCCAGTGGCTGTCCTTGCCGTGGGCTGGCAGCCGCACGTTTGGTGGGAATCTGGGTGCGGCCCAGCCTCTTACCCCCGACCCACGTACCTAGCACGTCCTGGCACTGAGGTTGCAAAGCCCTTGGGGGTCACCCATCTGCCGTGGTTTGGGGCAGTGGCCCAAGGGAAGAGGAGAGAGATGCCGGCTCACCTTCTCCACCGGTCAGGTTTGTCAGCTGATGGGAAGGGCGGCTGCAAGCGAACGCTATGTGCTGGCATGCAAGTCCCTCTTTGGGGGCCT